GTGTCCTCCCCGGGGTTCGCCATCCGATGCCGGCATTCGGCTTTCAGTTTCGTTTTCGGGGCGTCACAGTGGGGGGCGGAGCCGGCGGGAAACTCAAAAGTGCAAACATGACATTTACAAAGAATGCACAGAATACAATGCAATCTGCTATAATTACATATATGTATTAAACTATTTCACTTCAATTTCAACTGCTGCTTTCAACCTACCCTATCACCCACCTGGCCTTCACTGACTATGATTAACATAAGGGGTGGTCTATGCAGTCACGTGATCTTGAATCAAACCCCTGTAAAAAACGTTTTCAAAGACAATATTAGAATAGGAACTTGAAAAGGATTTAAGAGCCTAATCTTAGGTATACCACCATGTCAGTGTATGGGACCACACTCTCCTTTACAAAAGTCAAGTTTTTTTTAGGGGGGTCTGATCCAACCAGTCGCATTGTGATCACAACTAGGACCAGGTGCCCAGGCTGCTTTCCACCCACCCTATAACATAGACCTCTGCTACTGTGTTTCATAATGCAACAGATTTGCAGAAAAACAAACCTGCAAGGCTGGGGAAAAACATATTTGTGACAGATGTGCTCACACTGGGCAATTTCTACACTACTCCTGGTCATGTGATCTCTCAAGCACAGGGGACACATTGGGCAGCATCAGTCCTCTGGTCAGGAATAAGTATCTCTCTTCACTATTGAGGGTCTTTGCCTGCACCTTCACAGTGTTTGTCTAACTGTAAGATTAAATACCTTGACAAGTGAGTAAAGTGCCGGGGAAGGGGGGTTAATTGTGTAATAGGAAAGGGACCTCAAACGAAGGGTTCAGTTCAAAATTTGCACCAAGGCTGAAGCTATGCCACCGATTCCAGTGATGCTAGCAAGAGGATTATTGTTATGCAAAAGATAAAGTTTAGACCAGTGGTTCTCAACTCGTGGGTCGCGACCCAAAAGTGGGTCGCGACACCCTCTGCAGTGGGTCGCGGCGTCATGTCTGAATAGACCGGCCTGAGACTGAATAGAGAGGGGGAATTTGTGACCTCAGGATAACTTCTTAACGACAGTTTAGCTCAGATTGCTGTGCTGACCTTGCAATATTAATAAGAACAAAAAAAATGCAAGCATGTTTCCATACTTGACAATATTGTTGTAGTTTTTTTCCTTTTAGTACAGTGTAGGCATTTCTTCAATGTGCGTTTAGTGTCCGTAGGCGAGATTTAGGTATAACTACTGGAAGCAATGCCAGTGTAGGATGGTAATCAACAACAGCAAATGGAGCTGTAGAGAGAACATCTATTACATACTGGGAAAGCTGTGAAAAAGCAGGCTTATTTGTATGAATAATAAGCAGAGGAATATTTTAATCCACTACTTCTTGCAAGAGCATGTTAGCTGCCAGGGGATGTTTTATTCAGGAGCTTTTTTTTACACTTTCTTTTGCATTTCAGATTGATGGAGGCAATATTCCATTTTCTTATAACATCAGAGTTTCACACACAGTTTTAAAGTAGATCAGTTCAAACTTGGTATGTTTTATTAATATTGACAGCTACTTGGCCACATTTTAAATGGAGGAGTACAGCTGTAAAATACATATTACCTTCAAGGCACTCAGTTAAATGAAAATTAAACTTGACTTTGGCAACTGATTAATGACAGAAAAAAATAAGATTTCTGTACTTACTGTAAAATCTTTGTTTTTTTGGAGTTCTTTGAAGGACACAACATCAGTAGAAATCATATACAACTAGGAAACACTGCTGCATTTAGGAGGTCTGGACATATAACCCTGCCTCCAATTGTCATGTCAGTTATGTAAGCAAACATTTAGTAAGGCTAAGAATTAAGGGTGTGGGACATGTGTCCCTCAATGTAGCCCAGCAAAAATATTTTATGGGAAGTACAACAAATATTATTTTCTTTATCATCCATTGAGGGACACAGGAACAGTAGAAATCATATACAACTGCAAAGTCTAAAAGTAGTCCAACTGAGGGGTGGGTAACTTTTAGGCTGGGTTCACACCTAGGCGTATCGAATATGCTCGTTGTCGCGCATTTTACCGCGATTCGCGGTAAAAAAATGCGCGCCAAACATGCGTTTCCGAGGGCTACCTGGCTGTATCCCAATGGATACGCGTGGCAAATACAACCCAAAGAAGCTCCTGTACTTCTTTGGGCGTAGGGCGTTTTGTAGCGCATTCATACGGCCTGTAATACGCCCAGGTGTGAACCATAATCATAGGAAATAATGGGATTTCGGTGTTTGAGTGTTTTTGCAGAGCGTAGGAACGCGCTACAAAACGCCCAGGTGTGAACCGGGCCTAACTGGGAAAGTCAGATTAGAAGGATATAGTTCCAGAGCTGTAAAATACAGGGCTATCAGTCCACCATAAAAACAGCAGATGGAACAAAACCTGAGACAAGTGAACTAGCTACTTAGTGAGGGAAAGAACATATATACAGAGATATAGCCACACACAGAGGATTGTATGTTCTACATTTGGATAGGAAGCAGCAGTGTACAAATAAGTGAATGAACATCAAGTGAATGAAGGTCACATATAAAAATGTGTTGTTAATCAGAAACAGGCATCTAATGATAGAGTCAGTGTTAAGAGATTAGGACATGCAGAAGCTGTGGGCTCAATTAACTAAGAGCTAAATACCTCATGACATTTTGAAGTAAAATAACTAATGAGTTATTTAACTCTTGAATATACACTTCACTAAAACCTATGAGTTATTTACCGAATTAGATCTTTTCTCAAAATTTGCGATATATATCTCAGAATGTAGGCTTTATTTTTTTACCTTTTTTAAATGGTTGTTTTTTCGTGAAAAAAAGGCACATGGGTGCAGTCATTTGCACCTATACTATTTTAAATCAGCCAAGGTGAAATACTTTTTATGTTGTCCCATTCCTGCCTTCAGGATGGCATTCTCCTCTCAATCCTCCTTTTGGATGAATTTATATTCCATCAATGTGTTCTCAAATACTTCCATTGCCTCGAATTGGAGGTTTTGAACACTTTCACACTGCCACACTCAGACAGACTATAAATATCCACTGCCAGTTGACAATTACCTTATATATTTTTTTTTTGTGAATTGACTTTAACCACTTGAAGGCCATAGTGTTTCACCCCCTTCCTGGCCAGGCCATTTTTCAGTAAATTTCATGTGATATTTATCTAATTTTTTTAAGTTTTTGTTCTATTTATCTCATATGTTTTTAATTAATTGCCTTTTTTTAATCTTGTGTGATATTACATTAAAAAAAGATCACATGACTATTTTATCTCATGAGATGACGTTTAGTGAATTGACGCCTGTGTATCTTGACTTCAGGTTTAGAAATAGCATTAAAAAGAACAGTTCTGCAGCAGCAGCAGATCTAAATGTCATGATAAACTTCCACCTAGTGGGAAATAGGCTATAAACACTGGAGGTAGTTAATGGACTTAGACACAGAAGTCTGTGAAATGGCAAAACGTATAGTGCAATGTGCACTACACACAGGGATGCCTTTGTGATTTTCTGAAGTAAATTCCACAGGAAAATCACCGAGACTGGATATTTAGAGTGTACTCAGAAGATCAGAACTTACACTGGAGTAGACAGTGCCTCAGGCAAAGCTTATAATGCAGATACCACTTACCAAGAAATCTGTGTCGCAGGTAGGCACTACAGACTGGGTACAGCAGAGGCTGTATCACTCTTCTAATGCTGGCCATAAACTGTTCTATTTTTTTCGTTCAACCCACTTGCTGAAAAAAACAGATTTCTCCATTAACGCTATTCGAGTATTGATAGAGAAATCCCCACTGTTTCTTTTGTATTCTGACAGTGGCCACCAGTCGGCGGCTCTGTTCATTCAAATATTTTCTGACCGACTCCTTCATTCAGCTGATCAAAGGATGGTGACTGAAAGGGTGCCGCCACTGTGAATTTTGGGCGGTTTCTGAAGAACCAGCTGAAATCCGCATAATGTATGGCCAGCTTAAAGGTGTAAAGTGCTCTGTGGCTGACTGACACAGTACGTACAGGTCTGAAAAGTGCCACAAGCAGAGTGCAATGCCAAAGGTCACATTCCAGTATATCTTTGCCCCATCCATGGGTTTACTCAAAAAGTGAGTCTTCAGAGACCGGTACACACCAGAAGCTACTCTCTACCTGTAAAGTGTTGTGAGGCTAACAAACCAGTACACTAGATGTCTGGTGCATGTGACAATCAGTGCCCAGTGCCCAAGGATGGCATTACAGTTTAGCCCTGCAATCTTTGGTCCAGTTTTGGCCTCCTTGGCAGTGCCAAGGATAAGCTGGACTGAATAGCTGTTGTGTAGAAACCAGCTAAAACAGATTAATAAACATCTTGATTGAAGGGGAAAAAACATCCACAAAGTACCAAGGTGGTTGATAGAAGAGACACAATAGTAATCAGAGGAGAAAGTGACCAACCTCCTATAACAACTAGCAAAAAACTGAGGCATGACAGTTAAAGGCTAGCTTAATTTATTTTTGTTTTGTCATTGCCGAGACTTCCTGAAGGCAGCAGTATTTCCCAGTTGTTTATGAATTCTACTGTTCTTCTGTCCCTCAATCGATGAGCGCATTCCACTGTTTAAATTTTTTTTTAAAACTTTATTGAAAGTACACTCAATTTAGGTCTCCACACATTTGTGCATTGTGCTTCGCTGTGTAGTAGTAACCTCCAGTGCCACCCAGTGCTGTGTGGGAAAAATGCAGCATGTCTGCATTTTTCCATACTGCACATCACACCAGCATAGCTTTCTATGTGCCCTTGCAGTGATTGGCATTGACACAGTTCAGAACAAAGCTAGTCACTGAACATAGTGTGAACAGGCCATACTAGTGTGAAAAGTTAGTAAATGTTAATTAAAAGTTTGCAGTAGTTTTCCCACTGCCGTTTTTACTGATTTGCTCAACATTATCTTTCTCAGTATTTGTTGGTGTCTCCTTTAACTAAAGTATCTCCTGAAATGCATTCTATCAATAAGTAATGGCTAAACAACAACTTGGCAGAATGCTATTCTTTTTGTTTGCAGTCCGACTACCCGTGTAATTTCTCATTAATGTGGTATGTACCATTTCCTTTCTAAATCTGTGAGACACAAGAATATGTTTCCCCTCCAGCCTTATCTATTTTCAACATGTCACTCAGGTGTAGCTGAATGTTCAAGTGTAAAACATACACAGTGGTACAATCGTAAGCTTTTCTTAAATGCAGCATTGGGATTTTCAGTTCACTTTATTTCAGGCACCATTGAGTGTGTGCTTGCATATGATTTCATTTGAAGTCTCTTGTGTTTTCTGGATTCCCAAATAGGTTAGATGAGCATTTTCTAAATGTTGACCTGAATGTGTGTGCTACCTTGAATGACTGTGGTGAGTGCATTATGCATGGATGGAGGTAATGATATGAATACATGAATGTTTTATCTGAGGTGTCTCAAACTATGTAGTGTAAAAATAAATAATAAGTCCATTATATAGTTGCATTGTGCATTAACTAACTCAGAACACTAAAAAGACTTTCAAGCTTTAAACCAAACCTATACTTTGCATTTGCTGTCAATTGAATTAGGTGAACCGGTACTTTGCTGATGTTTCACTGATTCCTCGGTAACCCTAGTTAGAAAATGCTAAACATGTGTTTGAAATACATGAAACAATGCATGCATTTACTAGATAAATGATTTGTAATTCTCTTTATTTACTGTATGCACTTCTGCAGGTGACCCACTTATTTCCTGATGCAGCTTCCTCTGTCGCTTCTCCACCTCCAGCCTAGTCATTGAACAATTAGGGGTCTATACACTAAGCTGCCGAGGGCAGCCGAGTGAACAACTGATCCCCAAGTGAAGTGAGCCGAACGCTGTTCGGCTATTCACTTCAGGCTTGTACGGCTGATTTCAGCCGTATATCGTCTGAAATCAGCCGTACATCGGCTTGCTTATCATGGCTTCGGGTCGGCCGAACATGCTCAGCATGTTCGGCTGACCCGAAGTGCAGAAGGAGTTTGACTCAGCCGATCCAACATCTGGATCGGCTGAGCCAAACCTCCGGCAGGCTACTCGCTGCTGTTCGGCCTATTCTTATAGATGCCGAACAGCAGTGAGTGAATAGCCGAATGCTGCTGAGCCCTCAGAGGGACCGAGCAGAACAGAAAAATTGTTAAAGTACAAAAAAAGTAAATAGAAAACGATTGTGCGAAGCTAGCAATGACAGCTAGCTCCGTCCAACAGTTTTCTATTGTCCGGCGGTTATGCTGCCGTCAAAAAAAAACCCAGCTGTCAGAAGCAGGCTGCCGGCCGCTCAGCCAGCTACTCAGACCTCTCCAAGGTGCTGATTGTGTTATACCAGTGACCAAAGTCTGGGAAACGGAAAGTAAACCAATAGTTGGTTACACTTCAATGCTAACACTTCTACTAAATGCAAAAAAGGGTAAGAATTGGTTCAGGTAAAATAAATTAATAGACATGATGATTTTTAAACTGATGTTATATCTCTTTTCTTTCAGGCACCACAAGGCAGCCTAAAGAAGGGGAGGTGCCTGGAGTGGATTACAACTTTATTACAGTGGAGGCGTTTATGGAATTAGAGCGAAGTGGAGCACTGCTAGAAAGTGGTACATATGAAGGTAAGCAAAATGCCTATATTTTAATTTCTTGTAGAGGAAACCTGTTTATGCTGCTCACGCTTGATACATTTGATATACTTGTTGGAAAAACTTGCTGTGTTTCTTTGAAATGCTTTTTGTGGTTTATCATGGGTAGGATGGTCATGTTTTGTTAATGCCATTTGCTTTTAGGAGCAAACTTTATTTTGCATTTATTCAAACTCCAAGAGGTCTATTTATCAATATTTTCACCAAAGATTCACACAAGTTTAACTCAAGATTCACCTATTTTTAAACTAAATTTTATATTGAAAATGTGCAAATCTTCAATGAAAACATTGCAATATAGACCTCTAAAATGTAAAGGCCTACATTTATTGTATAGGGTCCCTTTCTCTTGAGTTTTATATAATTATGTAATGCACTGTGATATATTTTGTGTAATAAAATATATAGATTAATTATGATTTTGCAATGTGATTCAAAGGCAGATGACCAGGCTTTAGTATTCACTAATATCTAGTATGTGGCTAAGGTCTATAGCTTTTTCCAAAGCAAGACTGGTAGATCCAAGTGAGGCAGGAGAACCATAGAACTCCATTATCCAGCAAAAGCAATGTTTTATTTTCATCAGCTTGTATGTAACATAGCAGGCTGTAAAAATACTTCCAGCAAATAAATACATATTGAAAAAGAATCCTCCTTCTAAAAATCGTAGTTACCTGGCTTTCAGGCTAACACTCTTGTTTAAAAAGTCTGTGTGCATAAGTCTATTCTGATTTTTTGATCTCTTTTTGAGTTGCACACTTTTAAGTGTGTAACTCAGTACAGACTTTTACATTATTAAAGTGAATGAGTCAGCATCCAGGCAACTAGTATTTTCCAAATATTTTCACCCAAAGGGATCCCCTATTTGATAGACTCTTCCTCTTTTTACCATTCAGCAATTGATTTATTTTTCTGCGCATAGAGCCATGCATATGCACTTGAGTACACAGAGCAAGCATGCTGAGATGAATTAGCTCCTGTGTGCAAGTGCAGTAGTTACATCATCAGGACCCAGCCAATCAAGCAGCCAAAAACTCCAAACCTGGAAGAGGACCAAGACAAAGATGGAAGCACCGGAGAGGGAGGAGCGGGGTGCTGGAGGGGATCCATCTCCCAAGTCTGCCATACTGTGGCCATAATGTGTCAGTGTGCACAGCATATTAACAAACAGCAACTTGGGAACCTTTTTTTATCTAGCTTTACTTCCACTTTAATTATATAATGTAACCCCATAAAAGGCAAATCCAAAGTTCATGCTGACACTGTCCTTCCTGGGGGTGTGGCTACTTTTGTTCCCCATGGTTCCTTTGTGTGTTTTAAAGTAGCTACCGCTCCAAGTTTGCTCTCGTCAGGCCCGGCGATACCGCAAGGCAAGTCAGGCGGCCACCTCAGGGCGCTGCAGGGTGAGGGCGGAAAAAACAGGGCATTTTGAAAAGTGCGGGAGAGACCCCTGGCTCTCGTGATGAACTACAATTTCATGTTTAGTTTACTAATTTGTATTGAGATTGTAGTCTATCACAGGAGTGAGCTTGGAGCAGTGGTTACTTTATAACACCCACAGGGATCGTGGAGAAGAAAGATAGCCAGCCTCCAGGACAGTGTCGGCACCAATTCAGAGATGGTTGGAGGATCCACAGCAGAGTGATACACAAATAAGCTACATTTTTCTTATTAGTTTAGATACTTGAATGCATCTTTAAGGTTTAACTCCTGAGTTTCTGAATACTTTATAGCACAACTACATGCACATGAAACATATGATAGAAGACATTGGGTAGCTCTTGCAACAAAAATGAAACTTTTACAGATCATATAACCAAGAGTTACCTGAATCTACTGCCCAAATGCAAAAAAACACACGCTGAATATGCCCTTACGTCATGAGAGTTAATTAAATCTAAAATTGGCATTGCTGGCATGTGTGTCTGCTTATCATATTTATATGAAAGAAAATATCTACATGTGTGTTGATTACATAATTGGACAGTGTTGCCATCAAAACAAGATAGTTCTAAAAGTCTGCTTGAAAACAAGAGTTTTTCGTAAATATATTCTTTTTTGTCTGCATGTACATGATCTTAATCTGAACAGCAATATGATCCAGTGCCCGCAATTGTATAATGCTCCAGTTAAAATGGACCTTTAACTCTAAAACGGAAGAACCTCAGGTGCATGTAGTTCTGTATGCAGATATAAAAGCGCATTCCATGCCTATGTAAATTGTTTGTGTACTTTCTGGTTATCCTAGGCACTGGTGATGTTACCAGTACCTTCGAAATCTCATAAGATCTGTGGGGTCAGCAGCATTTCTTCCAGAGATGGAACGTGTGCAAAGATGCAGATACAGAGCTATGCATGAATTACCTAAATTCCAAAAGATTTTGTTCATTCATAGATCTATGTATTATTATTATTATTATTATACAGGATTTATATAGCGCCAACAGTTTGCACAACGCTTTGCAATATAAGGAAGACATTACAATCACAATACAATTCAAAACAAGATGGTAAGGAGGGCCCTGCCTGTAAGGGCCTACAATCTAGAAGGGAGGGGCAAGTGGTACATGAGGAGGTAGCTGTGTGGTGATGAATTGTTTGAGAACGTGATGGTTCAGTGGTTAGTTTGAGGTGGGATAGGCTTCCCTAAAGAGATGAGTCTTAAGGGATCGCCTAAAGGCAGTCAGAGTGGAAGATAGATGGACAGGTTGGGGTAAAGAGTTCCAAGTTATGGGAGAGACTCTAGAGAAGTCCTGGAGGCGAGCATGGGAGGAGTTGACGAGGGAGCTGGAGAGCAGGAGGTCTTTGTAAGTGGTTGTTAATATTTTGAATGTTATCCTTTGGGCTATTGGAAGCCAGTGGAGGGATTGGCAGAAGGGGTTGCAGACCATCCTATTAACATCACAGCACAAATGCTAGATCTGGCGCTGACATCATCCGTGGGCCAGCACAGAAAATATGGGAGGAGAAGCCACCCAACAATAACATCTACTGTTAAAATGCTGGGACCAGTTTACATGAGGAGGTGAAATGGAGCATTATCACATGAGAACTCAGGAAAGAACTAGGCAAGCAATAAAAATGAGATGTATTTATTTAGCAATTAAATTATATTTCATTAATGGTGGTGGTTTCATATATGAAACCAGGAGGATGGGATGTCCTCTTTAAGTAATAATTTCACTGTTCAAACACATAATGCATATTTTATATGCAACAATGAATCAAAGCACAAGTGTGTAAGCATTTACTAGTAATGCATGGGCTGAAGAGCATTCAAATTTATAATACGCAATCTTACTATTTTTTTTATACCCTCTTTCAATGAACTGCACAGTATTTGTTATTTCTAACTATATCAGTATTTTATTCTCTTGATTACCTTAGTAAACAAAGCGATAATTCATTTTTTATTCTCTTGCTCCTTGAATGCCTCATTATTTGAATGAATGGGAATAAGTCATATCTTTAAAGATTCTGGCTTTGTTATTATAAGCTTATGTCTTATGTTAGACAGCTGGAAAATGTATGTTAAATTGAATTACTCGAGGCAGAATGCTATATAAATAGTATCTTTTAGAAACATTTTTTTATATATTCAGTGATTAAGTTTTATTTTTCTTCTGCACCTGATTTACAGAATTTGTATTCAGCTAAATGGTTCTGTAATAAAGAGTAGTCAAAGAAACCAAAAGACATGTGTCTAATATAGCGTATCCTTAACTACCACCAACCATAGCAATATCAGAGTACCACCTTGACTATTAAAGACCGTGTTTTTGACCTGCCTTTAGTACCAGGATTAAGTTAAGTCATAATCCTCTCTAAAATATGCACTTGAACGCATGCAGGCCCAAAGAAACTGATTCACAATGCTTCCTGTGTTATCTGCTACTGGTTGTTGACACTAGAATGACTCTATATTTCCACAACACAATTCTGCACTAAAATATTGAGTTCTGCCAGCAGTGCCTTTTCTACAATGAGGGAAAGTACAATACAATAGTGGTATTTTCAATCAAATTAAGTCCAGACAACAATTAAATGAGTTGTAAGATCACAGCTTATACTCAGTGGCGTAGCATGAGAGGGCACTTGCCCCCGGGTGGCGGTATGAAGGGGACGCCGGCAGAGCTGAATTTCCCAGGGAGCAGAGGGGCAGCAGGGATTCCTATCGCCCGGGACATGAAGTTCCTGGGTGTCGCGCACCCCCATCCCCCCCATGTCAGGAAGCTTTGGGGACGTCAGGCACCCCCCGTCCCACCAGCTACTTCTCTCGCCGCCTGCCAGAGATCCCCTCTCACGATGTAAAGCAGGGAGCAAAGTGGAGAACGTCCATTCTCCGCTCTACTCCGTGTAAACAGTGAGAGGAGAGCCGCACTAATGGCCTTCCCTTCAGCTGTCACAGGAGTCCCAGCACAGTGCTGTGCTAGAACTCCTGCACTGGAGGATAAAGAGAACCTGTCACCTCCCAGATGCTATCACTCAGGGGCATGTTAGCTCCTGTGTGATAGCAATAAAGTTAAGTGAAAAAAATAAGATTAGATTAAACCAATAAAAATTGATAAATTATAAAATAAATAAAAATTATGGAAAAAAAGTAAAAAATAATAATTAAAATAAAAAGGCAATTTAGGTGGTGGGGGGCGAAGAGAGACGTGGTAACAATGACAAGTAGCGAGCCGCCCAAGGCCAACATCGGTGGCAGCAGTAGGAGGATTGCTGGGGGAGAGGTCAGGTGAGCTCTATACCCCATAGCCGGGATGAGAAGTCAAGTGAGCTCTGTATCCCAAAACTGGGATGAGAAGTCAGGTGAAGTCTGTACCCCATAGCTGATATGGGAGATCAGGTGAGCTCTGTACCCCATAGCTGGGATTGAAGGTCAGGGGACCTCTGCACCCCATAGCTGGGATTCAAAGTCAGGTCAGTGGCAGATCCAGGGGGGAAGGTGGCAAAAGGGCAATTTTTGCAAG